TAATTGTTGTCAATTTATCTAATTAGATGAATATTAATTGAACTTGGCCTTCTGTTATCTAGTTGTCATTTACCTGTGAGAGATGTTCGATCTAGGCGTGAGGGTATATATAGTTTTACATTTTAAAACTCTAATATCGAGTTTCAGAACAGTGTTCAACATTTAATTATTTTTCTTTAGTTTCGTTTACATTACCTTAATATTTGAAATAATAATCGTTATTCTATTAATAATATATTAAATGATGCTTACATTTTCAGCTTCAAATAACTAAAGAAAACTATAGATCATTAATTTTACTATTAATATTAAACATAGTTCAAAAATTCTTGCGTTGTAATTTTAAAATTTTACTCGAAGCAAATATATAAATAAATAGTTATGCCCGCCGTTTTATCAGCGTCAAATTTATAGTATAAGTTATTCTGACCTATTAGCTATATTATTGTAAAGTTTCATTAGAATCCATTGAGTAGTTTTTGCGTGAAAGAGTAACAAACATTACAAACTTCTGCGTTTATAATATTACTCAGATAATATGTTTTGTTAATAATTATTGATTATAATATTATTAAACACATTTGAGTTCGATTTTCAAAATGCTGAGTTATTTTTTTACATAAATAAAAATAGACACATTGGCGTTCGATATTCAAATGTTGAGTTTTATTTTCTTAAAAAAGAAAGTAAAAGGGCCATATTTACACCTTTGTGGTATCTAAAATTCAAAACTTTATAAGTATCGAAGTAAAACCGAGATGAGTTACTAGTTAAAAAAAAATTACATATTACAATTAATATTGCATTTATCTGCGATGACGTTTCGTAATGATTACCTTACACCATTGAACGTGACTTACTTGTCTATTGGGAGTGCTGGCCATTAACTAATATGTTTGATAATGAAAACTGTTAAGGCACACGAACCGGTGATATCCGGTTATCAGGTTGTTCCCACTTAGTTGGATTACATCATTGTCATAATAATAATGACATTTATTTCATACTAGCTGAACCTGCGACTTCCTCAGCGTGGAATTTAACTTTTTTTTTCTAAAATAAAAGTAGACTAAGATATTCCTTATTACATCAGCTACCTGCTAAAAATAATCCTATCAAAATCGGTCCAATCATTTCAGAGATTAGCAGGAACAAACAGACAGACAAAATTCGTAAAAAAATGTTATTTTGGTATATGTACCGTAATTATATTCATATGCATGCAGTAAAAATCGGTATTTTAATATTACAGACAGACACTCTAATTTTATTTATATGTATAGACTAGCTGTGCCCGTGACTTCGTCCGCGAGGAATACTGGCCTTGGTAGCATAAATTATTTAATAACCCAAATAAGCCAAAGATAATTTCAAAGTTTTCATTCATCAGCTTTAAAAATTACGAAATTCCATACCAACTTACATCCCCTCTTTTATTTTACTCTTAAGGTGGTAAATAGTTTAAAGAATAAGTTTCAAGCTTCTAGCTTTAAAAATGTCGACACTTCCGTATAACTTTTCATCTGCCCTTACAACCTCTTACAACTTTTTTTTCTTATTATTCGTCCAGCTATTTGGGGTAGATCTCAAAGGACGTGATAATCGTCATATCAAAACAGGAAATAGAGAGACATAGATAGATAGGTGAACTAAATAAAAAAAATTATATAAGTTTTATATCATTGTCTACACAATCAGGTCTTTTATCTCTCTACGATCTCTACGATCAAAATTTAAACAGATTTAATATTTTTTTATTGCTGTAGTTGTTTAAAAAACCATTGCGAATCTTTTGGTTGTACCATAAAATGTCCTTAATGTACATTTTCTTGAAATTAAGGAAAATAATATTAATGTTTGTTGTGTCTGTATTGTTTTCAAGCAGACGTGACCCAAATGTTAATTATTTTTCGCCGCATACATTTAAAGATATCTCAATGATAAATTAAAAAAATAAAGAAATAGATATAAAAATTTAACCACAGACTGTATAGCTGTATAGCATGACACTTTTGCCTTAATAATAATTAATTAATAAGGAAATATACACCTAACAAAGTGTTTTCGGATGATTTTAACTTATTTATTTTGAATGTACTTCGATTATATATAATTATTAATATAATTTTAATTTATTTATAGCCCTTGCTAATTCTACCATTTTGTAATGATTGTTTTTTAATTATGTTTTTTTTGGGACGCATTAAAAAAATAATTAAATAGATATAAAACCAAAACATCATATTTTTGCTAACTAATGATACAGCCAAAAATATTGAATAAAATTTATATGCAATTCTTTAATAAAAAATAATAAACTGAATTAAAAATATTAAATTATTATTTTTTAACAATTATTACTTTTTCTCTTTGAATATTTTGCGTAATTATATTATTTTATTTTATAGTATGCGCTACAGTTCTTTTATGCGGAAAGTAGAATCATAAGAATGCATCAAAATCCTTACAAATTATTACAAATTAATTTAGTGTTCAAACAGTCGACTTTTATATTTGAACATACTTCCTTGACGTAAAGGACATTCACATATTATAAATTCGACGACATATTTATACATTCATAATAAAATTTGTGAATGCTAAATAACCTCTTAATGTATTGTAAACTAATTATTTTTCAAGTACGCAAATGGAATGGTTAATTAGTGCGTATAGCAAATTGCAATGACGTTATTTTGTTTTATTACTTTTTTGTCAAGTCAAAATATATTTATTCTATATTTAAAAAGTAGATGTCGAGTGTTATGTCTCCATAGAAATTTGTTACAACCGTATTTTATACAGTTTCCGACCAAATTTTTATAGATCCCAGACGTAATGAATAAAGAAATAATTAATCCCATCAAAAACATAAATGTCGTAATGTCACCATATGATTATATGGCTTGATTGTTGACTTCTACGACAATATATCTAATTATTTTTTTTATAAAAATATAAAATATCATTTCTTCTTATAACTTAGATAATATATTGTAGCCTAAGGTCTATTTTTATATACCAATTATCAGATTGTTACTATTAATATTAAAATAGACCGTAAAAATGAAAACTTAGTTAGAACCATTTTTTAAGTTATAAAATATTTTTGTATATTTTTTTGAACTTGGCAGATCTCTCTTTTGTCGTAGAAGTCAACAATCAAGCCATATATCTAATGTCGCCATATAATTGGAAAATTGTACATAAATTATACAACTTATTTATAACTAAATTAATACCAAATTATTTTTGATAAATTAATTTTCGACTATATTTACGGGGTATAATTGTCTTTTTTTTGTGTTATTTTATATATTTTCTTGTAACTTTTAAATGTTCAAGTGCAATGCCAATTCAGTATCAGGAATTTTTGGGCGATAACGTCCAAATATTTCATGATTTCAAGGTTTTAATGAGTCAACGTAAACCTGCCCTTTATTAAATATAGAGGAGCCTATGTTGAGAAGAGGACTGCAAAACCTTGTCATTTCTATAAAAAAAATCGTTCTCTATCAACATATACATTATTTAATATCTGAAACTTCGTATTGACACGTTATAACGATTATGTAACAAATTGACTGTTATCTATTGAATTCTCAAGAAAACAATTTGTTACCAATAAGTTCTCATTCTCGAGTTAACTACATTCCTACTTATATATACTAAAATTGTTATTATTTTTGGTTTAAACTATTGTCTATACCATACGTGTTACTAAATAATGTAATAATAATATAATCACAAATATATAAGTTAATTTAAGAAAGCTATAAATTTCATAAATCAACCTTATAGGTTAGATATCCAGAAACAAAACATTTTTTATCGACCGCTCCCATTTATTTTTGTTTAATAATTATTTATAAAAATAATGATTTTACACTATCGATAAATATTGAAACAATAATTAATACCACAGTTAATAATATAATAAATACGAAATTCGACTATACTCCTAGTTATAAGTACGAGTATATTTTAGACAGAATCTAAATTATAGCACCTAGTGTTTACTGCTCAATGCAATATTTGAAGTTTGCTAGTTATCGACACTGATGTGAAGGGGTCAACGTAAATTGGTAATGATCGACGTTTTCATACAATATTACAGTACAAGATGAGATTTTTCGCCAGGGATCAATGTCAATTGGTGGCTATCGACGTTTTCATAGAATTAGTATTCGTCCAGTATAAGTTGAAATAGAATCAATTAAAGTGAAAAATTGTAGTAAAATGATAACAATTTACCAGTTTCAGATTTTTTCCTTTATATTCACCTTAATTACCTATTATACAAATTTGAACTTCCTAGGTCATCTGAAAGTGGGTTATAATTTTGATCTATAGTTGATCAGTGATAAAAATGACGATTTTTGGACATTAATATCTAAATAACCGTTTGAGATATGTTTATGAAATTTGGAACACATATTTATCTCGCAAGAATATATGAAATAAATTTGACAGGTTTGTGTGAAAGAGTTTTTGAGTTAAGTTCAAATGGTTCGTGTAAATATACAAACGGTGCTGCAAGCCAGTTTACTTGACTAATCATATGGTGATATTAGAAATATATTAATTATTTTTTTTGTAAAATATGATGACCTAATTTTTGTAGATATCAGCTGTTGTGACCGTAAAAATTAGTTACGACCATTTTTTTTATAAAACAATTTATTTACATTTTTTTATAGATTTCAGATCTAATGTCACCATATAATTAGAAAATTGTTACAACCTCTTTTTTTTATAAAAAATCGACTATAGATTTCAGATGTAATGTCACCGACATGTTAGAAATGCTTTACAACCTCTGTTTCTATAAAAAAATCGACAAAATCTTTGTAGATTTCAGATATAATATCACCATATGTCAGAAATGTGTTACGACCAAATTTTTTTTCATCAACAATTTTCGACCCGATTTATTTTTGTGTTACTATTTTTTATTCCACGTAAACAACACAGAAAACGATCACAACACTCGTACACACCTGCGTACGCGCAGAGCGCCGCAATCACCTGCGCAAGTATCAACGTCTGCAACCGCGCCATGACTGATTGCCGGCCGCGTGGGCCCACTGTTATATTATCAGTCTCGACACTAATAGGCAATAGTGTTACTATTCCTGGAAATATTAAAATTGGACTAAAATACCCAAATAGGGAGTGCCTAAGTTCAAGAAAACTAGGATAATTTAATTTAGTAGACTTCATATTTGCCTATGTTCAATAAAATTAGGATAATACAATTTGGTACATATAATTTGAGGAATATGCAATCTTTACTAATATATATATTAACTATGACTATGTCTGTTTGCCGGCCGCGTGGGCCCACTGTTATATTATCAGTCTCGCTCGACACTAATAGGCAATAGTGACACTATTCCTGAAAATGTAAAAATTGAACTAAAATACCCAATGCCTAAGTTCAAGAAAACTAGGATAATTTAACTAAGTTCAAGAAAACTAGGATAATTTAATTTAGTAGACTTCATATTTGCCTATGTTCAATAAAATTAGGATAATACAATTTAGTACATATAATTTGAAGAATATAAAATCCTTACTGATATGTATAAACAATGTCTATTTGTCGGTCGCGTGGGCCCACAGTTATATTATCAGTTTCGACACTAATAGGTAATAGTGCTACTTACTATTCCTGGAAATATCAAAATCGTGCTAAAATAGTCTGGACGAAACATATCCATGATATGCATTCAATGTGGTCTGTTTAGAAACTGATAAATGCAGTTTTCTTCTTGCATGAATGAATCGATCAAGGTACTACATGGGTCTATATGGGTCTTGCAATTACAATTTCTATACAATTATACCTACCTAAAAATATTGTATTGTTCACTACTTCCAGTAATTTATATAATAAAGTCACGACAGACAGACAGATTTACTTCCGCATTTATAATATTAGTAAGGATTTCTACGGACGGCCTCGGTGGTCTAGTTGTTTAACGCACCACCTTACTTCTAATTGTTGTTGGTTCGATTCCTCACACACACTCCTTCCACAGCACAAACATTTGTATTCATGAGTAAGATTGTTTGTGTTTGTGATCGATCGAGGTATTTTGTATTTATTTATATATTTACAAAAAAATGCATTTATGTATTTGTATTACTTGTCTGTAGTACCTATAACACAAGCTCTGCTTAGTTTGGGACTAGATGGTGCTGTGTGAATTGTCCTGAGAGATATATTTGTAATATTGGAGGTCTTAGTTACCTTCTATACCCAAGTGCAAGTACAGCTATATTCTATTAAAAGAAATATATTCAACATTTAATAATATAATTAAGTTATTATAGAAATAATAAAAAACCCATTAAATTATAACTTTCCGCATATAACCAAATAGAGATTTTTTTATTCTTCCTTGCAGTAAATCCCATTGTCAAGAATTTATTACTTAAGCGATGATTACATTTAAAAATAATGAAGACATTAAAAACTATTTAAAGTAGAAATACCATTGAATGTATGTTGATTGAGAAATATCATAATTATTATGTCAATACGCAGCAGCTGTTTGACAGTTGCAAAATTAAATCAATCAATCACCTTATTTGCTGCGCCAAAAGCGCTTGTTTAAAGCGTCAAGGGTTCATTGTCAGAAAATAATGTGTATGTAAAAATATAAATTAAATTATAGAACTTCTCGGAGTTTTATCTCTGTCACACGATGATCCCGGCATCTGCAACGTGAATTCCTTATTTTTCTGACTACTGCTTCACTGGACGATAGGGGCAGAGTGTAGATGGCACTCTAAATTCGCGCAAGGACATATGAGGCGGCTCTAGCCCAATTTCCGCCTGACGAAGACGACTTTAGCCTGAAAACACATTGTTCGAACCTCGGCCCATGCCGTTGTAATTTCGATCCCCGTTTGAATTGGACGAGGAATCGATCGGAAGGGATGTGATTCCGTGGATGTATTTTATTTATTGGGAGGTTTGGGCTATTGTCAGCTGTTAAGACCTGTAGCACTGCGACCTACATAGATCTATTGTACTCGTCCTTTTTCAGAGTTTGCTACCAAGACCCGTCCCTCCGTCCCGATATTCTTAGGAGAGATAGTTTTTATCTTCTCAGAGTATAGTGTGTACTTTCTAAAGGAGATATTTCGCTTATGCATAAGTGAGCTACAACCACATAGGATGTGTAGTGACGTTTTAGTAAGTGTCTATGCAACTTAAGTTCATTATTAGTAACAAATGTGTATCTAAGTAATCTGAAGAAAAATTATTATTATTATAATGACGTTGGTTGTTTTTTTATTCAGTGTAGTAAACTATTTGATGTGGAGATTTAGTGTAATTGTTTAATTTAAACGAAGATAATGTCTCAACTGAAAATTATTTATTACATTCTTTCATATACTGGTGCGTGCTAAATTGTGATGTATTAAAGTTTGTACATCGTTATCTAATTATTTGTACAACTATCTTGTTAACTAGGAAATAGTTTGGTATTATCAAAATGATATAAAATAATAGGAAATGCAAACAAATGGACGTTACAATATCTCAACTGGCCAAATATTTTTTTAAACACACAAACAAATATTTTAACCATACTTTAGTATAGTTTATTTGACTGTTGACTAATTATTATTTCTATACTACCATCTACTATTATAACTTTCAGGTCAATGTGTCAATGTTCAGTGATTTTTAAAAATCTACTGTTGGATAATCGTGTGTATTAAATTCTTGTGTCAAAATGTTAGTTACCATACTATTGTTTCGGAGAAACGGCTAAACCGATTTTTATAATTTTTTTATATATATTCAGTAGGACTGGGAATTGGCTACTACCTATTTTTCTTACTCCTAAGTAATAAGGTTTGTCCCTAACACTATTTTTTCTAAACAATTTATTTTTTATTTTTTATAATGTGGTATTTAAAATATACACAACTTTCCGAAATAACGAACGAAATTAGTACCTAAATTTATATGGCAAAACTACGTTTGCCCCGAAAGATAATTGTTATTTATATATTCTTCTGCTATAAATTCCAGGTTAACATAAATTTACAGACTTTAAAAAATATCTAGTTTAGTCAATGGCATTCCACATTTTAGAGAATTCATTCGTACGTATATCTCTATTATAAATGTAAGAGTGTCTGTTTATCTCTTTGTTGACATTTTATAGTAAAACAGAAAATCCTAAATATGCAAGGCTGTACAACATTTATTTAGAAGAACAACACGTAAGTTTCTTGATCGTTCTTCTTGTGATGAGATTGCTTTTCGAATGAGCGGTCGAATAAAAAAATATATATGATTATTGAAAAGTGCTCATATTAAGTTTATTTGAATAAAGTTTATTTTTATTACTCTATTTCGGTGTTTCCCAATTAGTGGTACGCGTACCCCCAAGGGTACGTGAAGTTGCATCAAGGGGTACGTGCGACTTCAGTGAAACAAACATACACACACACTCACAAACTCCCTCCGATCGATCCCCCATCCAATTCAAACAGGGATCGAAATTACGACGGCCTGAGCCGAGGTTCGAACCACTAGTGGTGCCCTCAGACTAAAGTCGTATCCGTCACGCAGGAGTTGGCCTTCAGCCGCTCCATAAGTCCTTCCGCGGGTTTGGAGTGCCATCTGCACTCGCCCCCTAACGTCCGGTGAAGCTGTAAAGGCCAGCTGCGGCCAACGGCATTAGAGTAGTCCGAAAACAAAACTCACAAACTTTCACATTTATAACATTAGTGTGATTGCTACAATAAGGGGTACGCAAGGTTTGAGGTCTTTTTTGAAGTGGTACACAACAAAAACTAATTGGGAACCACTGCTCTATTTCATACCTAAGTGATACGACGGTTTCTTTTAGTGTTGGATACAAATAATGTTTATCCAACACTATTAACTCTCTATCTTAATGCGTATTTCAACAGAGGATCAGTAATTATGATAAAATAAATTAATTTATGGAATTACTTATCTCTATTTCTAAATAATTAATCCAGTAAGCTGTATTGCACAAATCTTTTGTTATTTTTTAAACGCAATCCAAAATCCTACAGATTAAGTTATCTTAAGATTAAGTATCCTAGATAAGGGATCTCGAAACTTAATGTTTTGTAACTAAATGTAACTGAATATCTTATTATTATTATAAACGCGAAAGTTTGTGTACTCACATAGATGTAATGAATGTTTGTTACTCACGCAACTACCTAACGGATTTTAAGGAAATTTTACAGTAATATAGGTTATATATCAGAATAACACATAGGCTATGATTTAAAAAAATATTATATAAATTGGGCGATACAATAATAAATGTTAAGTAAGTGTGATACCGACGAAGTTGCGCGGGACAACTAGTTAATTGTGATGAGAGATTGTTGATAGATGTTGCGTGAGATTGTCAGGAATGTGGATTAACCCATTGCTAGCAATGTACCATATCAGGTTAGCCTCCACGCAGTTCCCCTTGGAAATCATTGTAAAAAATTGCTGGTGAATTTGTCACGATACTAACTGATAAGATGATAAGGAGTATCATCTTATCGTCCTCCACTGGTGCCCCGCCAACGTAAACCGTTAGCACAGGCGAATGCACCATTCCATTATCATCAATTAAAAAAAATACTTCTATTGACATCCATACTGACAGCTATTATAAATGCGAAAATGTGAAATGAAATGAAATAATTTATTTGCGAAATATTGGTACAGTAGATATGATGTTACAAGTTGTTGTTCAGCAATATTTACCATACGGACATGCAAATTATGTGAAAATATTCGCTTTACTCAAATATACTTGTGTCCAACTACTGGTTATACATTTCTTTGACTAATCGATTGAAAGGATCTTAATGATATTTGAAATGAGGGACTGAATATGATTTTCTTGTACCAATATATATATATATGTTGGTATGTATATATAATTCGTATTATTTACAAACATACAGCAAGCTAAACATCTAATAACTGAATGGAATAAATAACCCTTTATTCCTAACAAGTCGCAGAACCCAGTTCGACCTTGCTACAGATT